TCTAGGGACCCTGGTTCAGAGGCTTTGTGCATCTCGCACCCCTGTCTGCTGGGGACAGTCTGGGGCAGGTGCCGGTCTGCAAGGCCGACCTCTCTCTTTAGAAGCAATGTAGAAACCTTCTCGTTAGCCTTTGTGAGGACGAAGGAAAACAGGCAGGTTTCCCGCCACCTAACTCCGGGGCACAGAGTACACGGGACCGGCAGACCCGGGCCACCGGCAATTGGCTGATTTCCGGGCCGATGGCGGTGGGGTTGTTGGTGGGTGACCAACAGCCTGAGGGGTACACACCTTCCAGACTCAAGCTTGGATCTGTGCTTCCGATGGTTCTACCCTCACAAATCCAGAATCCCCGCCTGTCTCCCCTCCGCTGCCCTACCTGGTCCGGCCCCATCACCTCCCCCGATAGTTTCAATATTGATAGTCTCATAGCTTCCTCACTGGCTCTTCACTGCCTTCCCTCAGACACCCTGGTAAGTGTCAGATGCTGTCTCTCTCCTGTTCTGAACCCTCCCCACTTGTTTCCTTCAGTGGACACAGGCCTGCGCCCTCACAATCCTGCTGCCCCCCAACACTGCACTGCCACTCGCTCAGCCTCAAGCTCTGCCTCAGTCTCAGCCTCACTTCCACCATAGAGCTGGCTGCTCCCTCTTCTGCCGCCCTTCCCGCAGATGCCCATGGAATTCGCTACCTGCTTCAGGGCTGTGCTCAGTGTCCACTCCCTCCTGCCCCACTGCACACTCCCTGTGCTGGCCCCTCTCTGTGCACCATCCCCTCCCTGTGCACCATCCCCTCCCTGTGCACCATCCCCTCCCTGTGCCATCCCCTCCCTGTGCCATTCCCTCCCTGTGCACCATCCCCTCCCTGTGCGCCATCCCCTCCATGTGCACTGGGCCTCTGTTGAGTGTCTACTTAAGCAGGACAGGGTCTTCGCTGTGGTCACTGCTGTGTCAGCACCCAGGGCAGTGCCTACACACAGTAGGTGCTCAGTCCACACTCATGAGGTGAATAGCAGATCCAGGTGAGGACTCCCTCCCCACAGACCCCTCTCACCCTCTCATTGCAAGCCCCACCCCAGGGGAGAGCTGCCTGTGCAATGTGGGGAGGGAGCAGGGGGAGAGACCTCAGGCCCTGGCCCCAGAATTGAGCTCCTCACCACTGTGCCTCCCCCTCTGTGGGCCCTGCTCCTGTCCTCTGGGGGTGCCTCCGGTGGGCCGCCTGGCACACTGGGTGAGACACACAGAGTCACCGTGGCACGCACTGCTGTGCCAGGGGCTCGGTATTGCAGCTCACAGGCCTCACTGACTCCCAGAAGTTGGTGCCCTGCTCATTGTTCAGGTGAGGAACTGGCTCAGGAGCTAAATGCCTCTGGGAAGAACACTCAGGGGGTGAGGGTCCCGCTGGAAGCAGGCTTGGCGGCCCCTTTCCCTGGTGCCACAGCCCAGGCTCCTGTGAGCCCCCAGACCGCGAACCATGGCCACGGAGTCAGGAGCTGCCTGCCACCATCCTCTCCCCTCCCCCAGCTCGGGTGGCAGCACAGAAGGCATAACAGAGGGCAGCACAGAGCGGGGTGGCCTGTGAGGGCGTGAGCGGAAGGCGCTCTGCGTGTTGAGGTCCTGCCATGAGCTGGTTATCCTGCCAAGCGCTCCCCATGGCAGCACCGTGAGCCTCCACGACCCCATTACACGGCTGAGCGGACTGAGGACAGAGGTTAAGTAACGAGTCCTGCACCACACGGCTAATAGGGGGCAGAATGGCGCTTCTGAGGTGCCTGCCAAGTCCCTGAGGCCTTCCTGTGCCTCCTCCCTGCCCAGTGGAACGTCCCTGGTCCCTGCCAGCCCCGATGGGCAGGAGAGACCAGCAGGCCGGGGGCGGGGGGCGGGGGAGGGGGTCTGCAGCCCCAGCTGGCGCAGGCAGAGTTGCCATCCAGTCTATTAAGTGATTCTACCTGGGAAGAACCTGGCATGCGGGGACCATGCTGCTGGGCCTTTAAAATTTAATGCCCTGCTGACCAGGGGAGGGGGGAGCCCAGATTGAAGGACGGCTGTGTGCCAGGGGCGAGCGAGCCCCTCTCACCCTGGCATCCCACGCCTCCTGGATCACCGGGGGTCGGCGGGGCTGCCAGGCCTGAGCCCCCAACCCCCTCCCCTGGCAAAGCTCTGGGGGCAGCCAAGCCAGCTGCGTCTCCCCTGCGTTTCCTGCTCCGCCCCCTTCCCAGCCTTTGCTCATTAAGTCTCTGACCTTAGAACAACACAGTCACAGCCAAACCCCTGCCAGCACCCGCGGGACAGGCAGACAGGCCCCTCCGCCTCTGCGCATGGGGGCTGCACAGGGAAGGCGAGTGCTGGTGGCTCTGGCGGGCGGAGCTGTCACCGGGTCTGCTGGGCAACGGGCTCTTTTCAGCCTTTCTTTTCCCTCCTGTGCTCTCTCCCCCCTTTCTGTCAGCTAAGACAGCGGCCAGCTCGGCCTCCTGACCTGGGAGCAGGGTCTGAGGCCGGCCAGAGACGGGCTGCCCCCTCCTCTGCCACCCCTTGTCCTGGATTCTTCCCTTCACATCACTGAGACCCAGAACCTTCCACCTCCCACGGCCTTCCCCCAGAGCAGCGGGTCTTCACACCCCACACTCCCAGCGCACCCCGCCAAGGCCTCGCCGTCCACCAGCCGCCCTGCCCACCCCTCCGAGCCCCTTCTCTAGTTTCCGTTCAAGGCTCCACGTTCCTGGGCTTAAAAACGGCCACCCATTTCTCTGGAATCATTCCTGAAAACACGCACAGCTCCCAAGCTCTGAGCTCCTTGAGTCCACAAACATTCGTTGAGGGCCTACTGTGTGCCAGGAACGGTGCTAGGGCCGGGACACAGCAGTAAACAAGACGGACAAGGCCCCTGCCCTGTGGAGCCGGCATTCTGGGCCGAGAAACAAAATACTAAGAAGACAAGTAAGGAAACAGGATAAGTGGAGAAACGAGAAGTGTGCGAAGAAGAAAAGAGAATCCAAGTGCTGAGGTGGCGTGGTGGGGGTGGCCGGGGGATGGCCGGGGAGGCTGTCCTGGGGGGTGACACCGAAGCTGCGCGCTGAGCCTGGGAAGCAGCCATGTGCCGAGCCGTGCGGGAGGGAGTTTCCGGGAGGAGGACGTGGGAAGGCCAAGGCCCTGAGGCGGGAGCATGGTTGGGAGGTTGCAGAGCGGGCCTGAGGCCAGGGCTGCTGGGGGGTCCGGCGAGAAGGAACAAGGGCTGTGAATGAGCTTGCCATTTGGACCCCCTTCGCTCACCCCAGGGCCACCCCTGAGCTGTGGGGAGAGGGTGTCTGGGCCTCGCTGACCAGGCCAGGTGGGCTTCCTGTCGGTGGGGCAGACCCACGTGATAGGAATGAGGCGAGCAGGCATCTCTGTGGGCCCCGAAGTGGCCTTACAGCCCAGCAGCCCCAGGAAGAACCGGAAAAGGAAAACAGTTCAGGGCCAGGCAGCCTCCGCCTCCGCCCCTGTCGGACCAGAGGGGATCAGAGGCCCTTCTCACCTCTCCTGTCCACGGGCCCGCTGCCCCCAGCTGGGGACCTTGCCATCTTCAGGCACCTGCTCTCCCCCGTGGCTTCTGCCCCTGTCTCTTCAGGGGCCTGCACACAGCCTTCTCCGACGGCCCATCCCCACGGTGGCCGCTCTCACAGACTCCCTCCGAGGGGAGGACCAGCCAGAACGCCCAGCCGCCCGTCATCCTGCCCCGGGTGCGGTCAGGCTCCTCCCAGCTTGGGGCTGACTCAGGTGTCCACTCTGGTGCTGTTGCCTGGGGCCCAGGGCCAGGCTCGCCGAGGCTGTGGCCTGAGTGTAAGGAGAGGCGCGGGCTCTGACCCCGAATCCCAGCCCCTCAGCCCACCTTGCTTGGAAAGCACCCGGGGGTGGCAGCCTGGTCACTTGGTGGGGTGGCCTCCCAGCATTTGCAACCACAGAGCTCTTTCCCAAAAGAAATCTAAGTAGAATCACAATATGCAAAACAGATAAAAGTCGTACTCAGTACAAATGCACCTGATATATTCACATGTAGCCAAAAGAGAGCAATTATAATAAGACTAGAGGCCCGGTGCACAAATTCGTGCACGGGTTGGGGCCAAGCCAGCCGGGGGGAGGGGCCATGGGCAGTTGGCTGGCCAGCCTCGACGCCTGGTCGAACTCCCAGATGAACTCCAGGTTAAGGGGACAATTTGCATATTAACTTTTTGTTATATAGGATTAGGTAAGATGAGAACAAAGCTGTTTATTGAATATGAAGTAAAAATGAGGGATTATCAGCGGCGGTTTCCACATTTTGCTTGTATTGAGCAGTTACTATTCTTGCAGTAAGTGATTGCAGCTGAAGGAGGCTTAGCCGTCCCTGCAGACTCTTCAGTTAAAGACAGAGGAGGGGAGGCCAGCCCCCGTCCACTTGGGGCAACGTTCCTGGTGACTTCAAATGGGTCCACCGTCCTGTAACAGTGGCCATCTTGTATGTAAGTGGTGTTATGTCATAAAGATGGCCTTGAGCCCTGGCTGCATGGCTTGGCTGGTTGGAGTGTCCCCGTGTACACCCAAAGGTTTTGGGTTCGATTCCCGGTCAGGGCACATCCTAGGGGTCGGGTTTGATCCCTGATCATGGTGCGTACGGGAGGCAACAGATGGATATTTCTCTCTCACATCTATGTTTCCCTCTCTCTCTCCCTTCCTTCTCCCCTCCCTCTCTCTCAAATCAATAAGAACATCCTCAGGTGAGGACCGAAACGTGTCTGATGGTGTTGAAAACAAGCCTGAGTCAGACACAGTGCACTGCAGCGTGCGAGTGCCCCAGGGGCCTGCGAACGTGGTTTGGGAGCCAGAAACCAGCTCATTCCTTTTCCCCAAAAGCTCACACAGGCTCAGAGTTGGGAAGGACCCAGGGCTCTGTAATCCAAAGCCTGCATGTGCAGGAATTCCTCCGCAGCCCCCCAACCGAGAGCCTGTCATCCTCTGCTTGAATGCCTAAGGTGACGGAGAACTCACCACCTCAGGGGGCGGCTCCAGCTTCCTCTCTGCGTCTGCTTCCTTATCTCTCCGTGGACATGGCATTTCTCCCGCGCACTGCTGTGGAGACGGGGCAGAGGACACTGAGCTGGTATGCCCTGGGCTCAACAGCGCTGTCTCCGGGTCCTTCCCTGCCCCAAGGCACGGCACCTCTGAGGGGCAGACTGATGCTGCAGGGAGGAGTGCACAGCATGGAATGCGTTCTGTAGGGCGGGCAGGGGGAGGCCGGTGGAAATTGGAGAGGGCCTGGGCCCCCAGTTCCACGTGCCCCGCCCCACCCCCACTGCCTCAGAGCCTCGTCTGTCTCCCTCTGTCACCGAGCTGAGCTTGTGGAGGAGACAGGGATTAAATCCCGGGCAGCCTGGCCCCCGCGGGGAGCTGGCACTTCATTACCCGCCCGCCCTGCCCTGCTGTCTGCGGCCATCGATCGGCCTGGCCCCAGTGACCTCTGATCGATGGGCCGCATGTTATTTACTGGATTCTGCCCTGAGCCGCCTGAGAAGAGGGGACGGGGACCTGGTCAGGTCACAGCAGCCCCCTTGCTGAGACAGAGGGTGGGAGGGGGGGGGGGCTTTGCTGAGAGCGCTGCAGGAAGTCAGGTCCGCCCGGCGCACCGCATGACTTTGTTGGTGAGGTCGCTGGGCCTTCCCTGTCCCGGGCCTCACAAACTCAGCAGCCCACGGGGTGGCAGGGAGTAAAGAGGAGCGAGGGGCAGGGGAGGCCGGTGCCCTGTCCGAAGAGGAGGCACCTTGCTCCCTCTGCCCGCCCCACCCTCATCACCCACCTCTGACTTGACCGAATTTGGGAAAGTGTCCTCTGCTGCCCAGACAAGCGCCAACCCACCTCTTCCCTCCACCTTCCCACGCAGATCCTGACCCCTCCTCCCCACCCAGGCCCTGCTCCCTCCTCCCCACCCAGGCCCTGCTCCCTCCTCCCCACCCAGGCCCTGCTCCCCGCCTCCCCACACAGGCCCTGCTCCCTCCTCCCCACCCAGGCCCTGCTCCCTCCTCCCCACCCAGGCCCTGCTCCCTCCTCCCCACCCAGGCCCTGCTCCCCGCCTCCCCACCCAGGCCCTGCTCCCCTCCTCCCCACCCAGGCCCTGCTCCCTCCTTCCCACCCAGGCCCTGCTCCCCGCCTCCCCACCCAGGCCCTGCTCCCCTCCTCCCCACACAGGCCCTGCTCCCTCCTCTCCACACAGGCCCTGCTCCCCTCCTCCCCACCCAGACCCTGCTCCCCTCCTTCCCACACAGGCCCTGCTCCCTCCTCCCCACACAGGCCCTGCTCCCTCCTTCCCACCCAGGCCCTGCTCCCCGCCTCCCCACCCAGGCCCTGCTCCCCGCCTCCCCACCCAGGCCCTGCTCCCCTCCTTCCCACACAGGCCCTGCTCCCTCCTCCCCACACAGGCCCTGCTCCCCTCCTCCCCACCCAGACCCTGCTCCCCTCCTTCCCACACAGGCCCTGCTCCCCTCCTTCCCACCCAGGCCCTGCTCCCCGCCTCCCCACCCAGGCCCTGCTCCCCTCCTTCCCACACAGGCCCTGCTCCCCTCCTCCCCACACAGGCCCTGCTCCCCTCCTTCCCACACAGGCCCTGCTCCCCTCCTCCCCACACAGGCCCTGCACCCCTCCTTCCCACCCAGGCCCTGCTCCCGCTGCCCTTTGCAGGCAGCCTGGAATGCGAGGAGGTTCTGCTTCTCGGAGGGGCTGTGTCTGAGACGGGCCCTGCCTAGGAGCACATGAGGATGGGGATGGGGATAGGGACAGGATGCGGGGTCACCATGCCCTGCCCCAGGCTCTGCCCAGCCCCTTTGGAAGGTCAGCCTGGGGAGGACGCCGGTTCCATGGCCTTCGCTGGGGACCGGGGCACCTGACGAGGGCCCAGCCAGTCACTGGTGACAGAGGCCTTGACTGTTGCTTGGCCTGGAATCTGCTCCGGCGTTTGACAAAGTGCAGTGGACAGAGGCGGGCAGTGGTCACCCAGGGAGGGGGCAGGACTGGCAGCACGAATCCAGGACGGGAGACAGCGCGTGCTGTGAGCGATGGGTGAGCGGGGCTGGCCAGTGGCCCAGCAGAGTGGACTGGGCAGGCGGTGGGGCCCACCCAGGACAGAGCGCACGAGGGCCAGTCCGGGTCCCCACCCCCTCTCAGGCCCCAGCCCCAGTCATGCAGCCTTCGATGAGCCTGCGGTTACGGTGAGTGAGTGTGTCTCTGTTCAACCTACACATCCGAGAGGGAAGGGCTCCGGCAGTGGGCACCGCACAGCAGGGGCTTTGTGGGGCCTCATCGCACAGGACAAATGGTCGAATCATTGACCCCTGGCGACTGACCACCACCTCCAGCCCCCACCCCCGGCCCCGACCCTCTAATCACGGGGTCGGTTCTGGCAACCAGCCCCCGTGCTTACATGTGGTCCACAGTCACGTCATTCACACGCTTCCACACACTCCATGTATCACAAACTAGAAACGGATACAGCCTCTGCGAAAAGGGGTCCTGAGAGAAGAGGCAGGCCTTGTGCTGACCCCGCGGAACACCCCAACTGCAAGGAAGATGGGAATGCGGTCTCCCCTGGGCGGCGGTGAGCTCGAGGGGAGAGCGGAGCTGGTGAGTGCTGCCGCATAGAGGTACCGTGGAGCGCCTCTGTGGGCATTCCCTGGGAGGGGTACACACGGGGGCTTCCAGGCGACGCCAGGTTAGGTGACACAGGTGCATCGGTTTCAGGCTCAGGGGATGAACCCCTGATTATCTGTGCATTTTGCTTTATGTACATACTAGAGGCCCGGTGAACAAAATTCCTGCACTGGGGAGGGGGTGTCCCTCAGCCCGGCCTGCACCCTCTCCCAGTCTAGGAGCCCTCACTCCTTACCGCCCACCTGCTTGCTGCTCCTTAGCACAGCTGCGGAGACAAAAGAGGCTCCCACCACCACTGCTGTGCTCACCAGCTGTGAGCCCAATTTCTGGCTGAGCTGTGCTCCCCCTGTGGGAGCTCACTGACTGCCAGGGGGCAGCTCCTGCATTGAGCGTCTGCCCCCTGGTGGTCCGTGCACATCATAGCAACTGGTCATTCTAGTCGTTCCTCCATAATGGCCACTTAGGCTTTTATTATATGGACTAGAGGCACAGTGCACAAAATTTGTGCACTGGGGGTGGGGGTCCCCTCAGTCTGGCCTGCACCTTCTCTCAGTCCGGGAGCCCTCAGAGAATGTCCCACGGGGAGCGGGCCTAAGCCATCAGTCGGACATCCTTAGCACTGCCACAGAGGCCAGAGGGGCTCCTGCCATCGCCGCTGCGCTCACCAGCCATGAGTCCAGCTTCTAGCTTAGCGGTGCTCCCACTGTGGGAGTGCACTGAGCACCAGGGGGCAGCTCCTGCATTGAGCGTCTTCCCCCTGGTGGTCAGTACTCATCATAACGACCAGTCGTTCCACCGTTGGGCCGAAACCAGCTCTCCGACATCACACGAGGGGTCCTGGATTGAGAGAGGACACAGGCCAGGCCAAGGGACCCCACAGGTGCACGATCAGGGCTGGGAGGGATGCGGGAGGTTGGCCAGCCGGGTAGGGACCGCAGGAGGGCTCCAGGGCATGTCCAGCCCGTCTCACTCAGTCCCAATCAGCCGGACCCCAGCAGCAAGCTAACCTACCAGTCAGAGCATCTGCCCCCTGGTGGTCAGTGCACGTCATAGCAAGCAGTTGAGCAGCCTTAGCATAGCATTAGCATATTATGCTTTGGTTGAATGGCTGACCGGACAATAGGACACTTAGCATATTAGGCTTTTATTATGTAGGATCTCTAGAGATCAATAAACAAACACAGAAAACTGTAAGCAAATACTGAACGTTAGTGAAGGCTGCGCACTGAAGTGTTGAGGAAGGATGCACGGACGTCTGCAGCTGACTAGGAAATGCACGAGGGAGAGACGGGTGAAGGAGATCTAGTGCAGTGTTAACGGTGGAGTCCAGGTGAGGAGTCGATGAGTGTTGTCTGCCCAACTTCTTCAACCTTTCTGTCCGCTTGAAAGTTTTCATAAAATATCTGTAAAGGAGGTCTCCTTGTCCCCACCCCCTCCTCCAGCCACCAAATCCTCCTGCCAGCTTCTGCTGCATCCACTGCCATAGCCTCGCCATGGGCAGACGCACCCGACACAAGTCTTAGCCTCCCCGAGTGTCAGCCGGCTGTGTGTCGTTTGCTCTTGATCCAGAGAAGCCCCTCCATCAAACCCTCCCCCGCCCCCCCGCGAGCCTCTGTCCCCTGCGCTGGCCCAGCTATCAAAGGAGGCAGCCACTCTAGAGACCTGCCTTCGTCACCTCAATATCGCTGGGGTCTCCTGGCTGCCCACACCCCACTGCTCAGTGAGTCTCAGCAAACCAAATCCCCTCCCTCCCCAGCCTCACCCTCCATAGGCTTCCACCCTGCCCCCCTCCTGCCTTCAGGATCCTAGGACCCCGGTGACTCCTCCCCAGGAACTGCTCGCCCTGCACCCTCCCCACTCGGGATAAAGGTGGCCAGGCGCTAAGGAGGTAGATGACACGGGTGCACAGTGTTCACAGCTAGTAGGTGGCCTCCTGGGGCCTTTGTCCTCTCGGCCCAGATCTCCCCTCAGGCTCTTAGGACATGGGCTCCCTTCCGGTTGGCTCCTGGTGTCCCACGCCCTGGAGGAGAGACTGGGACGAGGGCCTAGGGAGGGGTCCTCAGGGAGGTGACATCTCGGGAGGTCTTCAAAGATGAGCAGGGTCTTGGCAGGTGGGGAGCGAGAGGCCCCGCAGAGGATGGATGGCACAAGTGGAGGCTGACAGTGGGAGGCAGAGTCAGAAATGGTGACTTGGGCCCGGCCGGCCCAGCGTGGCTCAGTGGTTGAGCATCGACCTATGAACCATGATGTCGTGGTTTGACGCCTGGTCAGGGCACATGCCTGGGTTGCAGGCTCAATCCCCATGGGGAGCGTGCAGGAGGCAGCCAATCAATGATTCTCTTATCATTGATGTCTCTCTCTCTCCACCTCAGAAATCAATTATATATATGAAATGGTGACTTGGTTGGCAGGGCCTGCCAGATGGGAGGAAAAAGCAGAAGGAGGGAGGCCAGGGAGGGAGGGAGGCCAGGGCCTTGACCCCAGGCAAAGGAATGGCCACAACTCAAGCAGGCGAGGGCAGTGTATGAGGAGTGCACCCCCCGCCCCCCCCCCCAGGCTGAAGAGGATAGAGCAACCCGGGGGCCAGGGTCAGGAGGGATGCTGAGGCAGGAGGGGAAGACGTGCTTTATTTGAAAGGCACGGCCGACTTCCCTCCTGGCGGCT